ATATATATATATCCTTTCTATTGAGTGCAGAACGCAATGAAAGTGTTTTCTTATCTTATGAAATACATTTTTTTTGACGAACATTTGTGTTGTGAACTATAAAACACCTTTGATAAATGTTCTTTTCTTTCCTTCAACAGATTGCTGATAGTGGATCTCCCATGCCTGTGCAAGAAACGCGAAATTTTGTCTGTGAATTTGCAGACTGTTCTGCTGTGAGTATTCATATTTTTTTTTCATAATTTGAATTCAATAATAACTGCAATTTATGTTATTCATTAAGAACGTTTGCTATGAGTTTATTTCTTTTGTTGACGATTTCATTTTATTAATGCAAGCAACTTCACTTAAGTACACCCAGTTTTCGGTTAAAATATTTTCCATATACCTAGTTTATCCTGATTCGAAAATATCCTGAAATATCAGTGATTTAAATCCCATTGGGCATTTTCATGCTAAAGAAATAAATCATTTCTCTCGCAAGTATTATTGAATCTAAGAGTCATGAGAGTTTCTTCTCTTCTGAACTCGTCTCTCTTTGTCAAAGAGATATTGTTACGCTTCTCTAACACTCTTTTTCTACCACTGAACACACTGTGGGTCTTATTTCAACGCTATCAACTAACCATCTGCTGTTCCTTCGAGTGTCGTTGTTTTTTATATTCCTGACAGTTTTTGGTTTATTGTCATATGGAAATATTGGTCTGTTAAGAAATTCAGCTGAAGTATATTTTTTCGTTGGGGGTTTTCAGTATCCAATTTCAACAATACAATTGTTCATACGAGATAGGTCAGAGAGTGACTTGAATGTTTTGTCGAACTTTATCACCCTTCCATCGCTAAATTAGTGGATGATTATCTGTCTTCCCAACAAGTCTGCCAAAACATTAAATTGATATGAAGTTTTCAGTTTTGACCGCTCAGTATCATTTATAGTCTCGTCTCATATTGACAGCTCCGATAAGAGTTATCAATTTTCTAGTTCTTATGACTTTTTGTAACTACTCCGGTGGCAAGCGAATATTTAAAATATACTATCTACATATATTATAGAAAAAATATATTTCGGACATTCACTTATTACAATAATATTTATATTATTCGAAGATAAGTTCTGAAACATTTTTGAGGAATTTTTGAATGAGTAACACTTTGAATCTACTTCGAGCCTAGTTATTCTCATTAATACTCTGCTTGGGGTTTTGATGAGCACACCAGTGATTTCGAGACAGTTCTAGAATTACTTTAAAGAGCTGTGAGAACTGTTACACTAAAATTGATTGACTCTGTTACCTGGTTGCTAGGACTGTTGGAAATCACAGGCAACGAAAAATCTGATGGGTGAGTCAGATACAGACCATCACATGCAGATCCTATACCAGCTGTTGATGTACCAAAATCATTTTTATGGAACCAGATCACGAAATAATTTAATGAGAAACGAATAATGCTGATAATTTCGATATCTCAAAAGTCATTCGTGGTGAACGTTGTAAAGTTGCTTGAAATCATCTAGAACGTATACTTTGTAAAGAATTGTGTCCGAATCTTGTCGGATTTTCCGTCAAATCGAGTCAAGTGGAAGCCGCCAGTACCCAGTCTGTTTCATTTACTTTCTAAATTATTGATGATACCTACTCGTTACAATTGAAACATCTGTGCCGTCCTCAGACACCTAGCCTCCTAATCTCAGGGTACACATTTTTATTTGAAGGGTTCGTGCGTGGTTGGTGATCAAACAACAGTGTTGGCTCACTTTATTTCTATTTCTCATTATTAACAATGTGAAAACAAAAGGTTTTAACCATAAATAAACCCCATTCGTGTAAATTCCAAAATGAAACATTGAATATCGAACTAATAACGCCCTAATCCGAATCTTAGCTAAAATTAGGAGTAAATACCAGTAAAGATCCTACCTGGGACCGCTTCTCGCTGAAATGTTTGAATCTGTCAATTATATGTAGATTCTTCACCATCCACACACATTTCATCGGTAGGTACCAACCAGAGAACACCTATATACAGGGTATATATTGACGAGTTAACGCGATCTATATATAGAAAACTGACAGTAGGACGATTCTGAAAATTGATAGGATGTTTGAAAAACTAATGGAGAATTCAACTGAAATATTTTCGTTGAGGTGACGTTTCGGGTTTCACCGGAAGTGACGTCATCTTTGTTATTTTTAATGGCACACCCTAACTTCGAGGTCTCAAATTGGCATTCCTTGCACACCGCAAAATTTTGCACACTTTTGCTTGACATGCAGATGTGTTTGGACTATGTACCATCTGTATACAAAGTGTTTCTGTCGACCATGTTCTTAGGATAACTGTGTATCATCTTTGACTTCAACCGTGACATATGTGTATTGTTAAGTGGTATGTTAACATGAATAATGTTTGTTCCTCCTATATTCCTAATTTTTTTATCGTACCTATCCTTGGTGAATTTTTCAATGTATTTTGGCCTATCAATTTTGAAATATTAAATATATTCACAATTTAATTAAAAATTTTCCTAGACGATGAAGGCGTCAGTTGGAACAGTGACCCCGTCCCGGAAAGTGACTCTACACCGCACGTGAACATAGGATCGCACTTTCAATGCAAAATACCCCATTTTACATCTGCTCCCAAAAGAAGTAGTCCGGAACCAAGTTACGAAGATCTGCTCTGGGATCCAGGTATAAGCAGCTGTACCGACAGTGAAGGTAAAATTTTTGCTATAGAAACATTAAATGTTTGATGTGATAGAGATTGTATATTAATCGAAACATTTCAGAAATGAATGAAGGACTTTTTTGATGATCGAAATACGGGTGGATCATTTAAATTTTTCAATAACGGTGAAAAATAGTACGCCTCACATAATAATAATTCTAAATTTTTCGAATCAAATATCATGTACCTACTTGATAATTGGAACAACCAGAATTCATGATAGAACTGCCATACTTCAAAATTTGATAATATTCGAACATAGGTACTTCAATTCATTCAAAAAAATATGGCAAAAGGCAAATGGTTTAGAAATATATTGTTCAAACAAATATTGCAAATATTCTTCAGTGATTTTTCATATACTGACACTCTAGTTATAGATAACTTTTTGAAATCCCCTGTATAAAATAAGAAGATTCAAATATGTTCGAGTACAATGTTGTCCATTATCAACCTACATTATCGGTTTCCAAGTTCTCAAGAAGTCATGCAGTTGTGTCATCGTTATGTGTTTGGATGTTTTATTCGTATTTGAATTATACAAGTAGTTAACTATCATTTCATCATTGAATATCTGCAGTTGACATGTATCTGGATTTCGCGTGTTGCGCTGCAGTCCCTGGCGGAGGAAGGAACAAGGAATATGCCATGCACCTTCTTCACATGTGCGGAGGAAACATACACGTGAGTTTTTTATAATATACGTATATCCATTGTCTAAATATTGATAGTCATTCAGAAATAATGTAAAAAGCATTTGATATTTGATGCAATCCCGAGAGCCATCTATCAGATCTTCGTGGAACATAATGAAAAACTTAACCGTAAAGTGGCACAAACCCTACCAGATAACGTTGGAATTATACATTTATCTCATTTTATTTTTATCGAAATTTAACTTTTATTTTTCATCTACAGCTTTTCCTGGGTGAACCATCTGTGGGGTTATGAATATATATTTCTTTTTTAAAGTCTTCAAGTTCAAATTGTATTTTTTATATTATCCAAAATAGTAATGCCAGAAGTTCTTGAAAAATTTTCCACAAATTATTTTACTACAATTGGTTAATGGAGATGTAGAAAATGATGATGCTAGATGCTCCATGCTTCATAATAAGCAATACAGAAGGCTCTCCAAATTCAGACAATGTAGAAGTCAATTTTGTGAACAAATGACTTTGAAGCTCTGCCACTGATTTCGTGGCAATAAATGAATTTGTAGAAAATGTTATTTTAATTATTATTGATGAAGAGTTTCTCTATTTAGGGCCATTTACAGCATTTGGTTTATCGTACTCCTGTTCGCGATGTAGAGGACTTAAGAAACCGCATCATCGATGCGTGCAGGGTAATCAGAGAGATTCCAGGAATATTTGAGCGAATACGTGGCTCAATGCGCCGACGTCTAGACGCATGCATAATGTCTGAAGGTAGACATATTGAACATTCACTATGATTCCTACATGTTGTGTGTTTTGTTATTATTAAATTAGTTTTGTTTATTACCCTTCAATCGTTTAATGCAGGTACTAACTACAAAATAACAATAAATCCAGTTCGCATTTATGACGATGTATCTCTGTAGTCGTTCGTGAAATAGTTTTTTGCTGCGAACTGGTTCATTTTGAGCAAAAAACCCGAAAGACATTTTTTGTTTAGAATGAAACAGGCTATCAGGAATGAATTTTTAAATGGCAAACAAATAATTAAACAAAAAGTTACATTGGAAATAAATTTTAGGGGTTGCGTTTTCCACCTCNATTAATATATCGCAAATAAACAATTTATTTACAAGCCTGATTTCCTAAATTGAATATAAAACAAATAAAAACATAATTCTTTTATAAAATGTTATATTTGATCATGTATCTGAGTTTTAATTCGAGTTTTTCTCGAAACAGCTAATTGGTAGTTACCTAGTTGTAGTATTCACCCCACGATATCATAAATGATGTGTCAACTATCACTATGTTTTAATAAAATACACCTTATTCTCCCACTAACTTTCTATATTCTACTTCCCTACTTGGGTTTCAATCACGCCAGTGCTATCAAATTATTTAGCCATAAGGTTGACGGACTATTATTATTTAGCCGTTCCATGTAGGAAAAATAGAGAGTTCAAACTTTTGTGACATTGCATCAAGAATGCCATCTTATCAAATTCTGAGATTTCTGCCGAATGGCGATTTATCCAAATTTTTGAGTTCTTATTTCGTTTAGCTTCTGACTGTAAGATATCAGTATCCTATAATACTGTACATATAGTTACTTGTCTGAACCGAGAACAAACATTTTATTTCATGGTCAAGAGGCATATCTGGTCTGGAGCATAAATCATAGAGCGTGGCTCAAATTGAGACGTCCAATTTTAGATAGGAGACCTCAAGACCTATCAGAATCATCTCCTTTTATGTTATACGATTTTTTGTACTTCTCGAGTTATGGATTTTTCAATGTTTCTATGAGGCAAACATAATGCACC